TGACTGACCAATCTCCTCTAGATCATCCCACCTCCCTTCTGTCCGTGTTCAACCCCGTGAACATGGTGTACTTTGTCTTTTTCTTATCTTAGGTGAAATCCAATTGAAACAGAACTTTGACTTCATAACATTATGAGCAGGGCTTTTGTACATAAACTGAACGTATGGGATCAGAGGGTTCAGATGGACCTAGGCAGTTGAATTTAAACAGCGTTCCTATATTTACTCCCATTAAAAATGACTGAATTACATCTTATTTCTACTGAACAGTCTTTTTACAAATTTGACATATATAGAACAATTTGACATACCAGTATACGCCAATATAAACTTGAACTCATTATGTCTATTAATGAGCGTCAGTGTTACTTTAGTATTATGAATACACTGTTATACCTTCTTATATTTTATATTAGTACTTCAACTTATTTCAGTTATTTTGCAGTGCAACATTTCTAATTTTTAAGTCTATGAAGTTTTTTTTTTATCAATATTTATATTTTATTATATTTCAGCTTATTTCAGTTGACACAATTTTTAACAGTTTTAGATGTGAGGTATGTATTTGCAGCTTTTTTATATTTTTATTTTATGATATTTTCCTTAATTTTATGTACGTGTTTTTTTCCCCTGAAGTTTGCCGTGCTAAATTTGGTTCTGTTGCACAAAATGATAATGTTTTACATTTGATTATGTCAGTGATCTGTTAAACAAATAAATGTACCTGCTTACACTGTCCATTGTGCTTCTGTTTTAGGTTTTTGAAGATCAGTATCCTTGTGCACTGGATGCAGAAGGAACGTTTTAAACACTGGCAGTCGACACGAATGGTGAGTCATGCGTCATTTGAGTCATTTACATTCACTGAATCATTTCCGCGGACTCATTTATGCCTGTATACTTGGAAAAGCTTGTATGAGAGAATCTGGGATGATTAAACCGTTTATAGAGCCTTTGATGATCTGTCTTTGTATTATGTGTAAATATACATGCTTTTCAGCTGAATTGTGGGTAACAGGTGAACTCTGGCTGGCCAGAACAGCTTGTGAAAGGTTAGAGGGTTTGGAATGAGAGTCTGAGGATCTGATGTGTGTGTCAGAGACAGACAGCAGGCTTGTCTTTGTGTCTTGTGTCCTTGTAAACACACAGCTTGCTCGGGCACCAGAGTTTGCTGATATTGAGCGGTCTGTGACAGGGATTGGGTGTCGCTGTCTTCATACCTTTTGAGAAGAGTTGGCTAATCCATCAAATCTGCCACTTGGGGCATAAGCGACACAAAAACGGCTGTCGGAGACAACACTATACAGAAATGAGTGACCTTCATAAACCAAAGGATTCGGTTTAACTGGGTGGGAATAAGTGGTAAAATGAGTCAACCCATTAGGAAATGTGTTGCAGGGACTTGATTGTGCATAAATGTTGCGTTTGAGGGCAGTGTTAATCAGAAGCCGGGGCAGAACTGTATGGTGCATCGTGGATTTAACCAGAAAACAGAGACCATGGCTAATACGGGTGATCCAGGGAAGGTTTTTCCTCACTGCATTTGCATATCATTAGCATGCATTGCACTGAAACAACTCAGTGGTGTTGGTGATCATCAGACCTTGCCTGGCTCACTCATGCATTTCCTAAAGGAAGTTCATTGTCTCTTTTATATATATTTATATTTATAAATCCACAACTCTTATTATTAAAATCATTTATGCCATTATGCATTCCATCATACGGGCCTTCATCCCAGCTTCAGTTAATTTGTTTGAGTATGGGGTTTGCTACGTGTCTCTCTAGCTTTCCAGCAGAATATATTCAAAAGAGGACTTTACGTAACGCCTCACTTTAAAAGTACAGCCGTGTTATGTAATCTCATGTTCTACTTTACTCTCTTGCTATAGAATTGATCAAGTTCCTGCTGCACGTATATGTATGCTTATTCACAGTCATGTATTGGGTTCAGATGTCAAAATCTATGTGAAAATCTATTATTTGTTAACCTAGCATTAAGACATAGCTGCTGAATTCGGCTCTATTTCTGCTATGTCTTTATGGAATAAAGGTTTATTACTACCTGAATTCTAAACCTCCACCAAAAAAGTACATCGCTACTGCGTACAAAACAATTAGGCAATAACACAAAGCAAAATCTCACTGAAGTCCTCCGAGCTATTTTTTTTCTAGAATTAATAACTGAAGCACAAAATTCCACGAAAAGGGCGGATTGCTTTATGGCAGCAGCAGTCGCGTACAGCTAGTGCTATATTTACGGCAGTGAATTCTACTCATCTGTAGGGGGCTCCAAACTCACAAAACAAACAAAACTACATACAGTTGCTTTAAATGTGTACAGTTTACATTGGAGCACTCGGCACTGTCATTTTGGTTTTTAGAAAACTTATTTAGAAATAATTCTATGGCTTTGTCTTGAATGATGCATTATAAATTATGCATTATGTACCATCTAGTGTACAATTTTTAGAAGGTTTTACTACGGAAAGTGACGTTGCGAGTATTAAGCATCCATAATTGCACACCTCTGCGGGGTTTTATTTATTTAGTTAGTTAATGTGTATTTGAAGTGCACTTTTTTATTGTTGAAATTTTCAGTGTGAACAATCTAATCAGTATTTATACTACAAAATGGCACAGAATAGTGCTTAAGTACACAAATTGAGACACACCTATTTTTTTTTGGCAGTAACCAGTTCAAAATGTTGGAAGATCTTAATTACGGAGCAGTAACTCTAGAATCTGTGTGATGTGGCAAGTAAATGTATGTAGAAAGAAATGACGGTTATAGCACAAGATTTCTCTCCAGATAAGCAGAGCTGGTCTCTTTACAGGTACAAAGGTCAAAGATAATTCTGCTTGCTTTTTTAAAGCTGAAATTAATGATTTTTTTTAGGAACAGTAACTTTTTATTTTCATTATTGTGCTTAATAAGTGTATATTTTCTAACAGAATATTGTTAAATGTTCAGACATCTTAACACACATTCCCATAAACCTCATACATACATTTACAACCTAAATGAGGAAAGCCTCAATACACCGTCTGTTGCCGTCTGCACATCCAGACACTTCCACTTTGCCTGATCATCAACAATTTTTAGTTTGAGAGCTTGAATAAATCATGAACATGTGCAGCTGACCAAGTATTATGTTGATTTTAAAGATGATATCTGCAAGAAGACACTGTAATATCAGTGGTGATTATCGCTCAGTTAGATGCATTGTGTCTGTTCATCCTAACAGAAAATCTGAATAAGAAAACATATCTGTTTTATGGTCTTAGAATTGCCAGCAGTTAAATGCTGCAATTACCACGTCATGTATTGATACAGTTTTGTGATGCACTTGTGTGTTCATAAACCAATTTTAAATTACTAGAAGGTTGTTGTAGAAATCACGATAGTGGGTTTACAAGTTGCAGTGACTCAAGCACATTTTCAGGCTCTGTGATCCTGACTTTCTGCCTTTGATCACTCATTAATCAGATTTTACACAGAGAGCAATTATAAATTTAAGTTAATATTTAGGGATTACCATTAATCGACCCACTATTGCAGAAGCAGATGGAAGAAAGTTTTACTCATGACTCAGTTTTGCCTTTGATTAAAATGAATTACCTCTCACATCTAACTTCAGACTTCCCCAGTGCAATTCTTAGTTCATCAATATAGAAAAAGCAGTTTAGCGCTAGTGGACAAAAAGGTTTTTCATAGGTTATTGTTCTGCCAAGACCATGAAACTAGGCCAAAGTGTATCATGCGCTTAATGAACCTGATTTTAATTTAATCTGTGCTCAAAGAAATAAAAGCTGTAAAAAGTAATTTTATCATTTATTTTTTAAGTACAAACAATTTTCATAAATATTTCCCTTGGGACCTGTAACCAAATGAGCAAATAATTGCTTTTAATTAAAAAAAATATGCAGGTAAACACTATTTACATAAATACAGACATTTACATTTTTTCTGTGCTGTGCTGCCATTTTATTTATTATTTGTACAGTTTATTCAGTTAATGTATGATAGCTGCAAATCAAAGTGTCAAATGTCATTTATAAAACACTTTGTTTTTGTAACTGAAAAAAAAGTAGAATCAGACATAAAAAACAACAACACACAATCACCTAAAATCATACTTTAGGGGAGTTTTTATTGCACATGACATGATTGCCAACAAAAGCATTTTTTTCTATTATGATATTCATGAAATGTACAGGAAAAAGAGACACATCTCAATAAATATAAAAATATTACAGTGTATAGCTGGCTACAATAACCCACCTGACATCACATGTGGTATTTTTGCAGTGGTACAGTGATATGCATATGTAAACATTGTCTTTTTCCAAAAGGTAAGCCATTTTTCTCTTTAGGGACTTATTTGAATAGTGCTTGTAAAAATGAATCATTAATAAATAGTTAAATAAAGATTTCAACAGCTGTATGAATCTGGCCTGTCTCTTGATGCTAAGTTCATAATTTCACTGTGCTCCACAACTGTAACCTTGTTAAGGCCTTAAATAGGTCTTGAGAAAACACAATGTTTCACAACGCACAGCGTTGTTTTAATGCTCTTTTTCCCCCCTAGGTAGTACTCTTCTTATTAGACTAGGAGTAGTAGCGTTTTTACAAACTCTGAGAATGTAATAAATGTGTCCGCTTAACTTATTCTTCCATTACAAATTGCACAGAGTGGCTAATCATGGTCTGTTCACTACCTTTTGCCAATCTCATTTTGTCTGAGGAACTGAATGTTGTTGACGCTGTCGGCTAGCTCAGGATACTGCTCCACCGACAGCACGTAGTATCCATCGTAGCCTTGCACTCGTCCAGTGCTGAGAAGCTGCCTCTTCTCTCCCTCAGTCCACAGGCGGGATCCTTCCTCTCCGTTTCGCACCCGCTGCTGCTCCTGTGCCCACGAGATGGCGAGAGCCCTCTGTCGGGCCAGCTCTGAAACACGCACTCGTTCCTCATCCAGAGACGCCCCGTAGCGCACGTGCAGGGTGAGAGCCCCCCTCTGAAACTCCACATCTGCGAAGCGCCGGGCGCGGCCACCTAGCACAGCTGTGGACTGCGACACCGTCACGTTCACCGCGTTCTCAAGTTCTTTCCGTCCGCTAGTAAGCCGCAGCGCTGCCAGGTCCGCTTCAGGAGAATTCATTTTAACAAAGAAGTGCGTGTCACTGCCATCTATGATAAAGTGCAAGTCTTTCAAGTAAAGTGCGCCATTGAGGATGTTGGCAACCTTGACGCAATCCTCATTAGCCAGGCTTAGTGCGCGGGTTATCACGATGCCCTTGTAAAGGGCCAGCATGATCCCGCGACCTATCAATGAATCGCTTGAGGCAAACCACAGCCAGGGTTTATCAGCCCTTTGGCTATGACCGAACTCAACCTGTGGCAGATCCCCAAATGTTAGAAATGCTTCAGCTTGTCGAATGACATGCTGCTGGACTGCAAAGCTGGCCTACAAAAGAAGACAATAAACATTTTATAGAAACGTGTGGCTCTAGTTCAATTCTAGTTTCATATGGTGAAAAAAAATCTTCAAAGGGACACTATAAGAAAAGAAAAACGCAACAACAAGGATTATAGAATAAATTATTTTTACTTTACATTTGTTTTTGGAAAAAAAGTAGACAACACATTATTTTATTATAAACTATTATTATTATTATTATTATTATTATTATTATTAAAATCCTGATACCTGATATTAATTGAAGATAATATTAATTGAAGATGTAATGATAGGATTAATTGAAGAAATGAAGAGTTTATTTGCAAAAACAGATAACTCAATTTTTTTAACTTTCAAAAATCATGTTTTTTTTTTATTGTGATCATGTTTTTATTGTGTTATCTGTATTTTAAAATTTATCAATTTTGTATTCAAGTATTATCAAAATAACCCAACTGCAGTTTGAATGAGATTAATTGGAATGCACAATGAAAAAACATGATTTTTATCGGTTTATTTGAAAAACGGATATCATGAGTTATCTGTTTTTGCAAAAATTACTGTCAGGTTATTAATAATATAATATAATAATCCAAAACCATTTTATAATTCTATTCAAGTATTCACACTCTACAAGTTTTTATTAATATTTTGATACTTAGTTTTTGTTTTAATATTGTTCAACTTAATTTTACTTAAAGTTTTAGTATTTTTTTGTCATAGTTTTTATTTATTGTTTATATAGCTTTTATTCATTTTTATTTCAGTTTTAGTTATTTTTGTACATCAATTTAAACTAAACTAAATTTAGAAATGTTGCCTTGGCATCTAGCTGAAATAATTTTAACCGAGCGCCTTGTTGGCAGAGGCTATTTACACTAACTCCGCCCACCAACATGTGATTGGCATAGTCAACGCTACAAAAGATGGCTTTTTAGGAGCACAAGCAGAACATTTAGGGGCACACCTTAAATCAGCCCGCAATGCAATTGTTCACATATATTCCCCATTTAACTGTATTACTGACAAATGCTTTGATAATAAATAGATTTAACTCATAGAAATTACAATGTGCAGTATTCTTTTATCATATATATATATTTTGCATTAATAAGTGCAGTTACTAATAATATTACATATTCATTTCTTGTTTATTTCATGTTTATACACATTTGACAGTAAAGCACTAAGCTTGAGTTGGGACAGTAACGTGCAAAACCAATTTTTTATGTAGAAAAGGTATATATTGTACTCTTATTAAATGTACCATTATTCTTCTATAGTCTTATATGGAACTGACCAACAACTTCAGTGATTATGTATGATTTAGTTGCAAATTGAAGAAAAATTTTTTTTCAAAGCACTTTGTGACTTTTCTTACTTCATACACAAAAAAGAGCAAATCTCTGACAAAATCTGATTACTTGATATGATATTTTAGAATACTGATTTTATAATTGTGATTTTATCATTTCAAAATATAAAGGAAAAAGTATAAATGAATGACTAATAAGCCAATATGTGCTCCTCTGCTGCTATCTACAAGTTATAATGGTGATTTGATGTATTTTTTAATTTTACATAAGCATTTGTTCATCACAGTATATTTTGGTCATCCCATTAAAAATATCATTCAAATTGGATCATTTTGGAGCTTTAAAGTGCTGGAAACAGTTGTGTGAAATGCTTGAAAGTCATTGAAAATTGCTTGAATTTCTCTCTCAAAAGGTAGCCTGAAATAAATAATGTAATAACATTGGACTATTTCTGCCACAACACCATGGTTACAGTTAGCATTACTGCTTCTGGTTTTCTACATCAGCGCCATTTGATCTGTTTATAACAGATTTCTGTGCAGAATTTGAATGCTTCTCACTACATCTCGCAGCAACCTTATTAATTCTGTAGCGAGTTCAAACGCTTCTCACTGGATCTCGCAGCACTGTGCGGTAACAGTGTCGCGAAATCAACTTTGGTTACTGAGTAAAGCTGTTCTGATAGTTTGTTTGCGTCGCGGTCCGAGCTGATAAACGGTCCGCGCTGCGCAGCTCAAACGAGTAGCGGGATTTTGTTACGCTTTTGTTTAGTTTGCCGTTTGATGTTTCTCATATGCTACAGAAATGGCAGTGTTTATGAGTTAAACAACAAGGTGGTCGCGCCAATGCGACCGCTCACAAAATTTAGTTGCACCAGCAGAAAAAATGGTCGCAAAATGCAACCATTTGGTCGCAGTCTGGAGCCCTGAAATATCAGGTAGGGTTACGGTAGGTGTAGGGATGGCTTTATTGTCCCAATAAATTGGCATCCATTTAATAATTTGAATTAAAATTATAATACATTATTATTGCATACTGTTTTATAATGTACTACAATACTGAGGTGCAGATAATTGCCACTATTTGCATTAAGTAGTATAAATAGCAGAAAATCCTGCTGTTTAACATAGTGTAAATAGAATCTATAGCTATTTGCACTTAATGTAAATAGCATCTATCGCTAAGAAAATATACTATTTACACTTAGTGTAAGCATCTATTACTATTTTCACTTAGTGTAAATAGCCTCTATCACTATTTACACTTTTAATTAACAAAATAATTTTTTAATTAACATTTCTTTTATTTCAAGTGATTTTTAATGGTTTTAGTTTAGTCAACTATAATAACCCTTTATGCTAGTATGTGAAGATATTCATCCAAAAATAAACTTACTGTCAGGTCGTCCCACACTTGACTTTTGGCCAGTTCATAGGAGGCTTGTGTCATCTCAGAAATAGGGACAGGGAAACCAGGGATACTATTATGGAGATGGAATCCAAATGTGACCAGCCAGCTGTTCACATCTGTAGCAAATATCAATGAATAAATTTAAAATCATAATTTGCATGGGGGAAATGTGCAATGTATAGCAGATAGATTACTTGCAGAATTTGTTTCAATATGCGGATACAGTAGATGCAGTGAATCCATGCCATACCTGTTAAGTAGTCTCTAACTTTCTGCACTTTACTTATAGGGTTGTTGTTTCGGAACATATAGAGATTGAAAGGGCCTGGATTCTTGCTGATTTTCTCCCACTGCATGAAGTCAGGTGCAGTCCAGCGACCCGACATGATGTCATAATCCCGCACTCCAAAATTAAGCAGTTTTGTTAGAGGGTCATAAAGTCCTCCATGAAACCCAATCACCAACTGGATATCAGGATTGGAGTCTGAGTAGACTTCGCCATAAGCCGTATAATGAACCTGCTTGAGGAGGGCACCATCGCTGCCAAAGACAGCCAATGGCGTTCCTATGTTATCACAGGCAATGTAGAACTCCGCTCCACTGCTGATCTCCATTGCAAACAGGTGCCCCTGCAGGTCATAGTATAGAGAGGTAATCTGTGAGCTGGAATGGTTGTAGACATGCGTTATCCTGCTTGGGTAGCTCAGATCAGCATAGAAGAACTGCAGATGTTGTCCCATGCTGGACTTTGTGGAGACTCTTCTTCCCAAACCATCGTAACGGTACTGGACTGACCAGCCAGTGGATTTACTGTAGACACGTTCTAGGTGGCCATTGGAGCTGTATTGGAAGATCTCAGAGCCTCTCTGACGAAGAAACCCATCTTCGTCCAACTCATACTGCAGGTCTCCTAGACGTGTTATACGGTCTCGTAGGTCATAACGTAGGGGCATGATTCGAGCACTGTTTGCTGGACTCAGCAGGTGTATGTTCCCATTTAAGTCATAGCTGTAGCGCCATATCATTTTCTCATTGAGGTAGACGGTCTGCAACTGTCCGTCCACATCATATTCATAGCTATACTTGGTGGCATTGGCGAACGGGCCAATCTTCATCTCCCGCTTGGTGACTCGGCCCATATCGTCATACTGGACCGTGATCCAGAAGAGCAGAGAACGGAAGAGCTCATACTGAATCTCTCGAACCCGACCGTGCCCGTCAAGGTGTTTGGTGTAAGTCATGACAGAGGTAGAGATGATCTGGTTGATGTCATAATAGATAACGCCAAATTTGCCGAACTGCTCCACCTTCCCTGAGATGTCATCATACTGATAAAGATCAATAGGCAGCGGGGTTTCATTGATGACCCCCTGAATACTCGTCACACGCAGACTACTGTCGTAAGCATAGTCGAAGCGAGCGTTTACCATCCCGTCCTCGCTGAAGCGGTAGATCTGCCGGTCTACCAGCGGGCCAAGCTGCCTGTATCTAATGGTGCATATAAAACCCTCACTCTGCAGATTGACCGTCTTCAGCACACCTGCCGTCTCGTCGTAGGTGAAGCTGACACGAGTGCTGTCGTACAGAACCTCCGAGAGTTTGTTGTGCCAGCGGTACCGGTAAAGGACTCTCCGTCCCGTGCCCAGCTGTGCCACTCTCAGGAGCCTCCCATCCTCACTGTAGTCTACAGCGACGGAAGCGTTGCTCTCAGGCATATGGTAAAGGTTGCGGTAGTAAGACACCGAGCGTATGGTCTCCATAGTGTATCGTGCCACAGTAGGCATAGTGACTGCAGAAAGGCCTCCCTGAGGGTCATATTCAAAGACATACTGCCGCTGACTCGCCAGGATCAGGACAGTGGACTAGAACGAGAAGAAAACAACTTGCATAAACCAGGGGGAATTAAAATCAACTAACTTTGTCAATTGTCACACTAGTTGGTTAATCTTATTAGGTTACAAGAGTTTTTGCTATATAAAAGGCATAGTTCACCCAAAAGTTACAATTCTTTATCATTTACTGGCCCTCATTTCACTTGTTGACAACCATCTTTTTTCTTTCCTTTTATCCACCTTATTCCTAAATGCAGAAGTAAGCCTATGGGCGAGACTTCTGGTTCATTAGCCGCATATAGGGAAATAACGAGAAGAATAACAACGTGCAGTAATCAGTAAAACTGTTTGCATTACAAACCAGTGTGTTCATAATTAAGACAATACACTAAAATAATATGGTAAGACACACCAATTTGCATTATCGAGCAGAAAATTAGCGGTTTTGTACAGCTAAATATAGCTGGAAGCAAATGAGACCGGAAGCAAGACCCATAAAATTTACAAACGGTCGCGCCCATTTTTACGTGAAGAATAAGGTGGATAGAAAAAAGACATTCTAAGAAAAGTCAAAAGGATGAAATGATTCTAGCATGTCTTTTTACTCTTGTTAATCTTGATGGTCTACTTTTTAGGGAAAAAAACAGCTTGGATGTGGATGCAAAATGTTTTCTTTTTTGTTCCATGGAAGAAAAATAGGGCTGCCACTAACGACAATTTTTATTTCGATTAATCTATCGACTAATTTATTGATTAATCTAAACGATTAATTTACTTAAGAATATTTTATTAAACTATATATCATTAAACCAAATTAAATCCAAAAGTAAAAAAGTAAAGTGCAACAAGTAAGTTTCCATCTCATAGTCCAAATCACTGAAATCAAAGGTCAGTATTATAGTGTAAGAATGACAACATATCCACGTGTTCTAGTCTACTAATAATAAAATTATAAGCAAAAAACACTTTTTAAAGGAGTATTTACCATAAATATTATTTACCAGAATTTATTTAGGAGAAAAATGTAAATGTGCAGTATTTCTGAAAAAAAAACAAAAAAAAGGATTTCATAGTACCCTATAATTATAATAAATTTTTTTGTGGTAATATAAATAGATGTAAGTGAACAATAGCCTTTAAAATAACTTATAATACATATATAATATCAATGAGGCAATAATAATTAGTTCAAATAAAGTATCAAAGCAAGAAATCATATGGTTTTATTGAACAAAATTGTTAAAATACATAATGTATTTATAAACAATAGAGCTAATGTACATTACGCATTACAACAAAGGCCTGCAGGGGGCGCCAATGGCCTGACAGTTGTTTTTACACATTACTGTGCGAGCTAATCCTTGTTTAATATTGACCAAGCACCATTTCATTCAAATGTCCACTTAATCTTTAATATTTGGCCATT